ATTGACAGTGCCAGGCATGTCTCACAAGGACGCTCTAGCATTTGGGTAAAAATTCTATGGTAACCGTAGAATTTCCCCCCAAAATGCTAGAACGTCAACCCCTCGCGATGTGCCTGGCACGATGATGTCATCTTTGGGTGACGTCATTGTGGCACACATGCTTCATACACATGTCAGAAGATCACAGGGAGCAGCCTGGAGCCCCCCGCTGGCAGCCGGTAATCACCTGGCAACCCTATGTCCCTTGGAGAAAATGGATGCTTTGATGGATGGACTCAATGGCATTGTATCCCACTGAGGTCCCTGTCCTCCCCAGGCTCCATCTCCAAATCTCCAGGAGTTCCCTAACCTGGATCTGGCCACCCTACCCCTCCATCCCATTGGTGGCCAGGGGGGAACCTGGGAACCCAACCTTTAACATGCCTAAAGTTGCTCTTTGATACGGCTATAGTATCTTTAAAGGTAAAGGTTCCCTTGCTCAAAAGCCAGTCGAATCCGACTCTAGGCTTGCGGTGCTCATCTGTGTTTCAAAGCCGAAGAGCCAGCGCTGTTCGAAGACGTTTCCGTGGTCATGTGACCAGCATGACTAAACACCAAGGCGCACGGAACGCTGTTACCTTCCCACTCAAGTGGTACCTATTTATCTACTTGCGATTTCTTGCTTTCGAACTGCTAGGTTGGCAGGAGCTGGACCTAGAGACAGGAGCTCACTCCGTCATGTGGCACACTCGGGTCTCGAACTGCTGAACTACCTACCTTCCACAGCCTGCAGTTCAGCGTCTTAACTACTTGAGCCACCGCAGCTTTAAAGGTATCCTAATTGTTTATCCCTTATATATATGTGCTTTCAAGTTATAATGTGATTCTCTACTTGCTTTCTTAGATGATACCATTCTCTACATTCTTATATGTGGGACTTTTCTATATGTCCTTAACAAACATTTGAATCAGCTCAAAGGTCAGTGAATCTGTCAAAAGTGCCTGCCTCTGTTTGATATCTGCTTCTGAAATCACATCCTGGTCACTATGTGCTTTCTTTTTGTAGCAGGAACTCCTTTGCATATTAGGCGACACACCTCTAATGTAGCCAATCCTCCAAGAGCTTACAGTAGCCCCTGTAAGAAGAGGTGTGTCGCCTAATATGCAAATGAGTTCCTGCTACAAAAAGAGCCCTGATGTTGCAAATAATTTCCTTTGGGGAAATGTTTAAAAAATTTCCTCCTCTTCACTTTTCAGTTCATGAAGTGCTTTAGGAAGTCAACTGCTGGTTATTTTTGGTGCCTCTTTTATATTTTCTGCTTCCTGCTTCTTTACAGAAAATGAATTTCAGTGTACTCTATTGCACTGATGATGAAGAAGAATAAAGAAGTTCAAGAACAAACAAAACACAACTGAATGTGGCAAGATGCCTAAACATTACCCACCCCAAGCCTCTCGGATCGGGCTGGTAATTAATTAAAATAAACAAGCTAAAGCTGGAAATGTCTTCAGTAATGCTAACCATTCTGCTTTACTGCAACCTCTCTGAGACTCATTTGCAAACCTGATGTGGCACTGGCCCAGCAGTTCCAACAGCAGCCAAAAAAAATTCTACAGAGGAGAAAGACTTAACCTGCCTGAAATATTTCAATGAGCTTTCTCAGTGCACACAAGAGAAGCAATCCACAAAAGTCTCTCACACTAAACAGTCTCTTAAACAACTGGATTGGCATGAAGTGACAAAAATGTTCTGCAGTGGCTAAGCGCCATAACAGCGGAAAAGATGTATATGGAATAGGGTGGATTGGAGGCAATTTAGCTGTTTCTAGGAAGAGGAACGACCACTTGATCTCATTGACATGCCTGTTAACCTTTGCTTGAAGAACAGAATAGAAGGCGATAAGCAAGGAATCAAACAGTTTTATGAATGAGCAGCAGAGAGAAGGAACCTAAACCACTTCCAGTGTGATCTTTGTACAACCTAAGGCCAATGGGAGCAAATTGGCTTTGGCCTTACTGGTGAGCAGAAGTAATCCTAATGCTAGCATGAAGAAATAACAACCAGGCAAATTATTGGCACCATTATTTCACCTTCCTAGACTACCAAAACCTTCCTGTAAAAAAACCCCCTCCCATATATCTCTATGTTAGAGAACATTTTAGAGTCCAAGGGGCCAAGGAGAAATCACTTATAAAAATACCCTGCAAATTCAAAACTAGCAGTTAAGCCAGGATAAATCCTTTTCTCTGACACAATTTTTACATTGGAGACTGTTCAAACACCTCATATCCCTCTGTAATGGTATCGTCCCAAGAGAAATACTGATCAAATACAGACTGATAAGACTGTAGGGCTGAACAAACTGCCCAGGACAGAAAATTCTTGATCTTGCACACCTTCGTAAGAGAACTTTAAACATAATACATAATTATTAAAGGGACAAAGGCATTAGATGGAATTCACTTGAATGTCCAACTATTTGAATGCCAGAAGTGTGAAAAACAACAACCTATGGGAGCAAAGCTGAGGCATGATTGCACACAGGAAGCATAATACAACCAAGAATTCCAAATGTTACTAGAATCTCCAGTGCTCCGTAAAGTCGGGGCCACATACCAGTGGCCATGGGGGGGGGGGGATGTTACCTCTCAGAGCCAACTACCACTGTGTCGTGAAAAATCTGGAGACAGATTACTGAATCCTAGACCGAAGGAGTAGTCACTACATCTTCATGTTTCCATAACAGTAACATACACCTTTGGGATACAAGCAGAGTGATGGTTTGATCCTAAACAGCAAACTGACTTGGTACAGGGCCAGAAATCCTATTTTGTCTCCTTTGGTGTAGTGGTTAAGTGTGCGGACTCTAATCTGGGAGAACCGGGTTTGATTCCCCACTCCTCCACTTGCACCTGCTGATGTGACCTTGGGGCAGTCACAAGCTCTGGCACAGCTGTCCTTGAAAAAGAGCAGTTTGTGTCAGAGTTCTCTCAGCCCCACCTACCTCCCAGGGTGTCTGTTGTGGGGAGGGGAAGGGAAAGGAGCTTGTAAGCCGCTCCAAGTGACTCCAAGTGAAGGGCGGGGTATAAAGCCAATCTCTTCTCTCTTCTCTTCTTCTTCTTCTTTTTAATATAGTGTTTGGTCCTGATCCAGTAACTGTCTTTGTATGTATGTACAAAGAAGGCAGTGCAGAAATAATTTTGGACATCTCTTTGGTCAAAAAACCAGGAACAGACTACAGGATCACTTGTCTTCCATTCTTCTCCTGTCCAGTACAAAGTGCCTCCACTGGTATTATGTAGGTTTAAGTGCTGCATGAGATTTATATTTCTCGTAATTAATAGTAACCACAGCAATGCTCCCTCTAAGCTGTGGAGTCTTGTGAGCAAAAATTCTACTTTGTGAGCTACTGGCATTAAAGTTGTGAGCGAGTGATTCGGCTACTGCGTAAATTAGTTTGCTCTGGAGCCATCCCTTCCTGAGCTAAGGCAAAAATGTGTGAGCTGGAGGCTAAAAAACTGTGAGCTAGCTCACACTAACTCAGCTTAGAGGGAACACTGGAAACCAGTATGTTTGCCAGCTCTGGGTTGGGAAATACCTGGATATTCTGGGGGGAATGCAGGGTTTGGGGAGAGCAAGGACCTCTGCAGAATATAATGCCATAGAATCCCCCCTCCAAAACAGCCAACTTCTCCAGGGGAACTGACCTTGGTCATCTGGAGATCAGTCATAATAGCAGGAGCTCTCCAGGTGCCACCTGGACGTAGGCAACCCTACTAACCGGGGGGGGGGGTTGGCCAAGATTTAAGAGCAAACCCTAGTTGGGTGAGGAAAATGTTAGACAGGAGGGGGATAATTCATACTAGAAAGGAAAGGGAAACGATATGACGTCACAGAGCCTATACTTTAGAGATTTACCAGCTCACTTTAATAGTATGGCTCACACACTGCATTGGAATCTGGTTTTGAGTTCTCTCTCACACCCTCCTAACAAAATCTATGGAATGTGCTTATTTGGAAGTGTCATCATGATTGCTGCCTGAATTTTGGAAGCATCTTCCAGTGGTGTGGTGGTAGACAGAAGCTATTTATGCCTCTGATACAAGGCAGGAAGCCAGTCCCCACCCTACTTTCAGATTAGATGTAATTATTTTTCAGAAATACTTCTGTCTCAGCCAACCTACTGGGTCTGTTGGTAATAACAATATAATCAAATAGACCTATGTTTAGTTTGCTATATTTGTTGTTGTTGTTATGAAAAACCTGAGGAAATAGTTACAACACCCTTGGATATAGGATTCTGCAATTTGTCTCCATAATGTTCACAGTTGCACTTTTTAAGGTGATTGTTTTACCTGTGATGATAACATTGCTATAGTCATGGTGACGTATATTAAAAAGAAAACAACAGCAAAAGCAATTAAAATATCGTACTTTTCACAAATCAATCTTCAATTATATTCAAAAGTATACTATGGATCTTGTTGAATGCTTTTCTCCCAAATCCCCTGAATTCACACACACACACACACACACACACACACACACACACACACACAACCTCGTGTCTCTGGCAGATAAACAGTAATCTGTTTTAAAGATAGCTCCCTAGAAAAGATTTGATGGCGGTATACCTACATGGAATCAGCAACAAATGTTTTCCATAATAATTGTCTCAATATAAAGCCAGGTCTCTCTTGGTTATAATAAAGCAATCCATAAACAACAACTGAATCACTTCTTTTCCTCTGTAGCAGGGAAGTTAAAATGTCTGTTTATCTTACAGTTAAATGGGAAGATTTAAAACTAATGTAGGCCTTTCAAACAAAACCTGTTTATTAAACAAAATACAGTCTCCACCAAAATTATTTTTCACAATTATTTAAAACAAAATGCAGAGAATCTTCCTTGAGCAGAAGTTTTACTAGGCTAGGGCGGTAAAAGTAATTTTATTTTAAAGCTTCACTTTCTCTAAATGGAATTTAAGAATAATCAGAAGAGAGCAATAAAACACACTGACCTGAATTTGCTGCTGCAGTAGATTGATTTTGTGCTGCTGTTGCAGAAGTTGCTGCTGTTGTCTTGCAATCTATTAGAAATAAATTTTCCATTAGATTAAAACAGTGATGTTGAGACTTCAATATTATTGAGTGAAAACAAATTCCAACTTATTTCTCATGATAATTTCAAAGATCTTTCTTCTTTGTTACCCTGAACCTCATTTGTCTAGGAGATAGTAAAAGAGTGGAAGAAGGTTTCAAATAACATTTACTATCCTATCTTTAAGAACTACAGAGGCAATTAAAACACAAAGGTGTAAAAGATGGTCATATATACATGTATTTAATTCTGAGTACTTTAAGCTACAATTGTCATCTTTATATTTGCAGGAGCATCCACATTTTCTGAATTAGCAAGGGAGGCTTCCCCGCTCCCCCTGGAGAAGCTACTGGTGAGAGAGCAGGATTTTTCAGTATCAACACTTTGGAAGTCGCCGCATAATGAACCAGATCTTACATGACCTTTATGCTTTTCCCCAGGGGTCGTTTCGTAGAAAAGGAGCTAGGGGAACTCATTAGCATAACTCATTAGCATATGCCACACCCCCTGGCATCACCGGAAGTGTGTCATAAGGCCACACACCCCTGACATCACCGGAAGTGTGTCATAAGGCCACACCCCCTGCCATCACCGGAAGTGTGTCATAAGGCCACACCCACCACTCAGTTAGTCTTAGTCTTAAAGGTTAGTCTTAAAGGTGCTATTTGTTAGTCTTAAAGGTGCTATTTGAACTCTTGGACTATTTTGCAGCAACAGACTAACACAGCTACCTCGGGGAAGCTCCTGGATGGGGCTGGGAGTCCTTGCGGAGGCCACGTGGAGTGGCCTCGGCCAGGCAGAGGGGGAGGACGCCATCTTACCCTCCTGCTTCTTCCTCCTTCTGCAACAGAATGAGGCTGGAAGAAGGGGGCGGGCGAAAGAAGGGGCGGGGCTTCATCATGTGCCCCGCCCCCCTGCACCTCACCCGGGGGAACTGCGATCCCCCGCGATCCCCCCCGAAATGACCTCTGCTTTTCCCACCATTTAATTAAAATTTAGCTGTTTAAAAAAGTATTCTCTTGGACTTGCTAGTTACTTACTGTTTATCTCAGCTACGTTGAGTTTATCTTGTATTTCTACAACGTTTTATACATTTTGAATAGGAAAATATTTTATACATATTTTAGAAATAATATTAACAATAGAAGTCATTTTAGCTTCATAAATGAAAGTTATATCTTTTCACTAAACAAAGATATTTAGACTACAATCCAAAGGAAACCTTTCTGGGAGTAAGCTCCAGGATTGCCAAATGTGAATCGGCCGGGAGCAGGGGGCTCCCGGCCAGCGTCCGTTGCGTGCGCCCGCGTCACCAGGAAGTGACGTCACACGCTGGGGGCAGAGCCACGCCACTTGAGGGGGAAACTCTTTGTTTTCCCCTCAAATGGCGTGGCCCCGCCCCCAGCGTGCGACGTCACTTCCTGGTGACGTGCACACGGGGGTGGGGTTTCCCCCGGGCCCCGATTCCGTGGGAGCGGGAATCGGGGCTTGAAAGCGGGGGGAAATCCACCCCCCGGGGGTATTTGGAAGCCCTAGTAAGCTCCAATGAATAACATGGAACTTATTTCTGAGTAGGGGCCGCAGTGGCTCAGAGGTTAAGACGCTGAGTTGCAGACTGGAAGGTCTGTAATTCGGCAGTTCGAGACCCTAGTGCCACGTGATGAAGTGAGCTCCCTTCTGCAGCCAACCTAGCAGTTCGAAAGGAAGAAATTGCAAGTAGATAAATAGGTACCGCTTTGGTGGGAAGGTAACAGCGTTCTGTGCACCTCGGCATTTAGTCATGCCAGCCACATGACTATGGAAACGTCTTCAGACAGCGCAGGCTCTTCGGCTTGGAAACAGAGATGAGCACCACCCCCTAGAGTCAGATTCGACTGGCTTTCGAGCAAGGGAAACTTTTACCTTTACCTATTTCTGAGTAGGCTGTCTTAGGACTGCTCCCTAAATGTACTTAACAGTACCTAATAGTATACTTAACAATAAACAGTTAACTATACACAGTGGCTGCGATCAGATGAGCTGTTTGATTCGACGTCATTGCTTCTCCCCTCCAAATTAAAAATGCTCATTCAGACGGTGACATCTGTCTCCCATTCCTCAGTTGTCAGAACCCCATTCTCACCCCCAACTTCCCCGACATCAGAGAGAGCATGACTTTTACAGATTGAACTGGTCTCACTGCGCATTTCTGATGTCTGAACTCTCTCTTGCAAAATCAAGCCATTTGGGAAATCAGATTGCACACTTCCGGGGGGTGGGGCTACAACCATAAGAACATAACATAAGAACATAAGAGATGCCAATGTTGGATCAGGCCAAAGGCCCATCCAGTCCAACACTCTGTATCACACAGTGGCCAGAAATACCAGTGCCAGTGGTGGTTGGTAGCCATTACCCTCAGCTTGCTGTCTGTTCGCTCTTAATTTATTATTTTCAACCCTTTTAAAGTTATTTGAGATTCTGAAAACATGCCTCCGAGGCAAGATAAGAAGGGGAAGCAGAAGGCAAAGCAAAAAATGAATAATATACCTTCTTTGACAGCGTTTTTTGCTCAAGCTGAAGCTGGAACCTCCTCCACAATGGACTCAGGAAATACTGATAAGGAAGGGATTACTCTTACAACAAACTTTCTTTTAGAAGCCTTGGCTAAACAACAACAAGAGTTAAGAATGGACATTGTGGAAATGCTAAAACCAGCATTCCATATGGATGAATTAGAAGAATAGTCTAAGCAAACTAAGCCAGCAGCTAACGCTTTAAAGAAGGTAAGAACATAAGAGCATAAGAGATGCCAATGTTGGATCAGGCCAAAGGCCCATTCAGTCCAACACTCTGTATCACACAGTGGCCAGAAATACCAGGTGCCATCAGGAGGTCCACCAGTGGGGCCAGGACATTAGAAGCCCTCCCACTGTTGACCCCCCCTCCCAAGCACCAAGATGACAGAGCATCACTTGCCCCAGAGCCCCTATCTATACCTTGTGGCTAATAGCCACTGATGGACCTTTGCTCCATATGCTTATCTAATTCCCTTTTGAAGCCGTCCATGCTTGTAGCCGCCACCACTTCCTGTGGCAGTGAATTCCATGTGTTAATCACTCTTTGGGTGAAGAAGTACTTCCTTTTATCCGTTCTAACCTGACCGCTCAGCAATTTCATGGAGTGCCCATGAGTTCTGAGTTCTTGTATTGTGAGAAGGGGCTATTGTCATGTAAATCTGCATGATGCTTACATTCCCCCCCCCAATGTATTCCAAGGAAGAGAGGCAAAGTGAAGAAGGCTGAGAGGGGGCCGCTGTCAAAATGGAGTGGTGGTTTGAATGAATGCTTTTGTGCATGCGTGAAAGAGGGGTTTTTTTTTTTTTTTAAGGATGCTGCCAAATCTGAATGGTCAACCACAGAGTAAGTGCACAGTGAGGTGGGTTACTGGTGGCATGTTTGGACAAACCTCTCTGGACCAAATAACACTGGATAAAATAGAGGCATGGCCAGACCACACCAAGCCTGTTGTCTGACCGCAGTCAGTGTTTCAGCTATACCTGTTTTCATACCAATTGTTTCATGAGACAATTTTAATTAAAACCTTGCTGCTGGAGGGGAAAGTTGGGGGTGGGTGGGGTTTAAGCTATATTACAAGAAAATCTCCAAGTAAAGTAGCTTTAATTACATATCAGAAATATATTGACACTAGCTCTCAACATACTAGGAACTCATAGCTCAAAAATATCATGTGCTCCATAAGCATATGTACATAGGTACAAGGCCTGGCTTCCTTTGCCAATAGAGTTTTCTATGCTACTGTCAGAAGAAAAATAGGCAAGAAGACAAATATACTTAACAACCACATTGCTATCCCTGTTGGAGAAGTATCATTTCATACTGCATGTAAGGAAATGAATCTTTGAATGCTCTAACAATTGTAAACCCCCCCCAAAAAAAAACCTCCCTGCACATCAGAAAAAAAAAAATCCCTGAGATTACTATGTATCTGTCTGTCTGTTTATCTGGATGGAGGAATGGATAGACGGATGACAGGCAGGCAGGCAGGCTTCAGAGACGCCATCTTCCACCCTGCTATGAAGTGGCAGAATGGTTCTTGTCATATCTATCCCTTAAATGAAGAACCACTGTGGAGGCCAAACTTAAGGTTCTGCTTTCCTTTAAAACTGTAATGGAAAACTTCTCCCCAGTTGGACTGTGGTTTCAACTCTTTGTGAAATATCTCGGTGTACGATTGTTTCTATGCTTTTAAAGTCCGTGTCCTTGAAATTTCAGCATTATGCTTATCACAAAGTATTACTGTTGCAAGCTATCTTGAAGGGCCAACTGGTTATGTTTTGGGGAAGAGCAATTTTGAAAATAAATAAAACACATCTCATGGAGGGAGTAAATCCATCCATACAAAGTGATGTCCACATGTAGTCCTGCCCAGGCATCATCTAGGTGGCTTGCACCCATATCCTGTGTAAGGATTAAGGAGAAGAAGAAGAGTTGGTTTTTATATTCCACTCTTCTCTACCTTATGGAGCTGCGGTGGCTCAAGTGGTTAAGACGCTGAACTGCAGGCTGTGGAAGGTCAATAGTTCAGCAGTTCGAGACCCGGGTGCCGCATGATGGAGTGAGCTCCCATCTCTAGTTCCAGCTCCTGCCAACCTAGCAGTTCGAAAGCAAGAAATTGCAAGTAGATAAATAGGTACCACTTGGGTGGGAAGGTAACAGCGTTCCGTGCGCCTCGGTGGTTAGTCATGCCGGCCACATGACCACGGAAACGTCTTCGGACAGTGCTGGCTCTTCGGCTTTGAAACGGAGATGAGCACCGCAACCCTAGAGTCGGATTCGACTGGCTTTCGAGCAAGGGAACCTTTACCTTTTACCTTCTCTACCTTATGGTGTCTCAAAGCGCCTTTTCCTTCCTCTCCCCTCAACAGGTACCTTGTGAGGTAGGTTGGGCTGAGAGAGTTCTGAGACAGCTGTGACTGGCCCACGGTCACCCATTAGTCTTCACATGGAGGAGTGGGGAATCAAACCCAGTTCTCCAGATTAGAGTCTGCCACTCTTAACCAATAAACCACACCGGCTCTCAGGTTAAGGCTTTGTATAGCTTGGGGAATGATTTTGTTAAAGTTCAATTTGCTAGCGCACAGCTCACTGCAGTTCTAAGTACAATATAGAAGCAAATTAATATTCATTTCCTTATGGAAACCAGTGAAGTACTACCATGGCATCTAATATTGATGGTGTTGTGATCGAAAAAGGCATCCAAAACACCACAGTGCAATTACCAGAGCACAGTCTCAATGTATAGGGCCTGACACCGCAAACGATGGTACAGAAGCACCATGTGGCTCAAATTCTGAATTTTATTTGCCAATTGGTTGAGCTACATGCTCGCTTCATTGAGCATGACAACCTAGTTTTAAGTGTCATTTAATTTTCATTTTGAAATATAATTACAAAGTGTTCACTGTAAGATATCACTCGTCTGCAAATGTGTCAAGATTAATTTGTGCTAGCTTATTCACAAGTGTCAATAGTTAATTACTGTGTCATCTCTGGATGGCTAAATGACATTCTAACTTCTGATTTTTTACAGTATTCCTTTATGTTATTTTCCATTAGGGACGAGTCCATATTCCTTACATGTGGGCAAATATTCAAGCACATAAAATACCAGACGTCACAACTCATTAAAATCAACAGAGCATACATTGCTGTATATACCCTATAAAACACATTGGAATGAAAAGATAATTCTAGTTATAACATCAGATTCCGAAAAAATGCACATTAATTTGGAACTAATGCCCAGGGAACTAACGGAATCTTTTGTTATTAAATTTTTTACAGTAGGCAAACTGGAATGTTGTTTATCTTTTAGCCCCTACAAAAAAGGGGGGTACTATTCTATTTTACTTTCCTCTGAATTGCAAATAGGGCAAATAGAGTGAACAAATAACTTTAACAAAGTTTATTGAGGGGCTGTTAACATCTTCTTATAAACCAGCAGGAGCAAAGCCTTACAGTTTGCTAGAGATGTCAGAATCTATGGACACAATCCATCAAATTCTGACAGAGATTTTGGAAGCACTACCTGGTTCAATGAACTAAAGGGGAAGAGGCAATACAACAAATATTGTGCATAGTGAACTAAATGCTTTTTATCATCCACCTCATAGCTGGGTAAATGTGGCTTTCAATGCAGCTTTGTCCCACAATTAATTCTAGAACACACAACTGCACGTTTTGAGACATGGACAATTTGAAACAGAGGTTCACTTTGAAATGCAATGCGGGTGCTTTTCAAGACATATTATATAAACTATTTATTATTTACTAGCATTTTAAAGAGATTGCAGCATTTTCTTCTTATATTTTCAATGGTAATTCCTATTATAAGGAGCTGTCTATGTTAAACTTGTATAGCGTATACAGGAAAAATATCTCTGGCTCAGTTCAGATATTGTGTAAAACTATGGTTTAATCAAACTAACTATAGTTGGTGTGATTGTCTGAACACAGGCCTCTCCTCTAACTGCTTAGATGGGGTCTGTCAAGCCAAGATAGGATCTAGTTGGTTTGTTAACCACGGCTAGTCACAACTATGGTTTTGTGTAATATCTCAGTGCAAACATCTTGATATAAACCCTACTTTTTTCTGGTTACAACCTCCCAGGTTACAGAGTAAAGGTAATAAAATCAGCATTTGCCATGGCATACCAGAATTTGTGCGATATTCCATGAGCTGAATCTGGTTTCACAAACTAACCATGGTTTTGCCTTATGAGTGAACCAAACCCCCCCCCCCCGCCCTCCCGATTCAATGACAAATAAATATCAGCACAGGGTGAGGCACAGAACTTATTAGAAATTTCCAGTTGCTGTGTTAGAAATAAACATTTTCACAAGTTGATTTTTTTTTTTTTGGTCACTTACTTGCTCTTGCTGTTGGCGAGCAAGGTCCATTTGCTGTCTTTGTTTTTCGATCTGTGACGCTGCCAGTTTTTTTTGCTCATCATGGGCAGCCAGTAGCTGCTCCCGTAAACTGATGAGCTGGGTGATCATGGTAGAGAGCTGTCGTTCTTTTTCCGCTAAGCTTTCAGGTGTACCTAAGTATGATTGGAAGATACAATAAATAGACATTTGTCTTACTGAAGAAAAGAAATGCCAGAGTTATTGTATTTTACAAAAACACACACACACACACAAAACAGCTTGAATATGTATTCTGTAAGGAAGATGTACCAAACTGATCCCGCTGAGGATTTTACAGTAACATTCCATACCTTTCAGGACACAGCAAACTGTGAAACAGAAGAGACAATTTCTATTTCCCTCCTGACAAGAGTAATTAATTATGTACTCAGCAATATCAAATCCCTCTTCCAACCCAGTGTAATGACTCCTTAATGGATTCCCAAATTCACAAATAGATTAACATAATTTTCCCTCCATTATACATTTTTAAACAAACAAAATATAAGACGGCCCCCCAAAAATCTGGCTTATTAAGGAAAACAACTTAATTATTGGTGCTAATTTCTCAGAGATCTCCAGTTTTCACATGAACTCAGTATGCAACAGAACATTACAAGACATGCCTCATTTTTGTTACTAAGAAACCATAGCTAAGTTGAGCCTTGATTAGGGGGGAAAGTGTGTTAAGTGAGCCTGTAACTACTGAAAGGGAGCTTTGCCTGAAAAAAGGTAATTTAAAGCTTCTTACTTAAAGAGATTGCAGCATTTTCTTCTTATATTTTCAATGGTAATTCCTATTATAAGGAGCTGTCTATGTTAAACTTGTATAGTGTATACAGGAAAAATATCTCTGGCTCAGTTCAGATATTGTGCAAAACTATGGTTTAATCAAACTAACTATAGTTGGTGTGATAGTCTGAACTCAGGCCACTCCTCTAACTGCTTAGATGGGGTCTGTCAAGCCAAGATAGGAAGGAGGCCCTGGCAATCGTGGCAGGTGTAAAAAAATTCCACAGTTACCTCTACACAAAATGGCTAGAGGTAGTCCTGGTCCCTTCCACTTCATCCCAAGCAGCAATCCATGCCTTACGGAGAATCTTTTGTACCCACGGAATCCCAACACCATGGTGTCGGACAACGGGACAGCTTTCACCTCAGGTGAGTTCCAAGACTTCATGAGCCATTATATCATCAGGCACACCCTTCCACCCTGCCACCAACAGAGCGGATGGTGAGGACCACCAACGATGCGCTGCCCTCAACGACCCTGGATGAAGACGATGCAGTTTCCAGAGCTGTTGGACCCAGAGACCGATTGAGGGGTACCCACACCCAGCGAACAGCCCACAGCCAGCGAAACCCCAGACGGACCAGTGAGTGCAACACCGGAAAAGGCACCAACAGACAGGCTCGAGGTCACACCGACACCGCCGCTGCCCCCAAGTCTTGCAGCTGTTGCGTCTGAACCAGAGCAAGTAGCCCTGACACCGCCGACAGAACCATGTTGCTCAAACCGCAAGCAACGCTGGCCGACTTACCTAAGGGACTTTGTGTGCTAGGGTGTTCTGAACCTTGGGGGGAGGGGTGTGGTGTACTGAGCCTAATCTCATCAGCCACAGCTTGGGGACACAGAACAATGGACTGCTAGGATCCTGGGATGGACCTATCACCCAGGAGTGCCTCTGTAAACAGCCTATTGTTGGGCATGGGTGTGTGACGGGTGTGCCATTTTTCGGGCTTATCAGCAGGGACCCAGCCCTGTCAGAGTTGTCCTTAGTTCCAAGCTGAAATCACAATAAAGCAGGAGCTGATCACCAACACATGTTGAACCCAGTATATTTCATTAAGCACACCAATTTCCAGGTAAGGCTGGTGATTCTCCCAGAATTATGATTGACTCCACACCACAGACATAATTTTCCTGGAGAAAATGGCAGGTTCAGAGGGTGGACTTTATGGCATCACATCCCTGTGGAGCTCCCTCTCCTCCCCAGACTCCACCCTCCTTAGGCTCCACGGCGCCCCCCCCCAAATTTCCCTACCCAGAGTTGGCAACCGTACTTTACATTCACTTAAACATATTCAAAATTAGTGGAAAACTCTGCACAAGTGGGCAGTCTCATTGCATTATTTACATATATTCCTTAACACATGTTACCTACAATCCAAAATAGTCCAACTCTGGAATTGAGATTTGAAAATGGAATGTATCAAAAACATTAATGGGCTCTAACAATTCTTTACCCAGATCCTTTGTGGCAGTTCTTTACCCAGATCCTTTGTGGCACAGACAAAGCTATTTCTGAATCCCTTTAGTTCCTCAGAAGCAACAAGGGTGTCACAACACAGAAAAACAGAGCCGTTTTCAACACAATAAATAAGAAGAAAAAGAAGAGGAGGAGGAGGAGGAAAAGGAGGAGGAGATTGGATTTATACCCCGCCCTTCACTACCCAAAGGTGTCGCAGAGCGGCTTACAAACTCCTTTCCCTTCCCCTCCCCACAACAGACACCCTGTGAGGTAGGTGGGGCTGAGAGAGCTCTTGACAGAAACTGCTCTTTTTCAACAGCTCTTATCAGAACTACGGCTTGCCCAAGGTCATCCAGCCAGGTGCAAGTGGAGGAGTGGGGAATCAAACCCGGTTCTCCCAGATTAGAGTCCGCGCACTTAACCACTACACCAAACTGGCAGGGCCTCCCGGGTCTCCCTGGTCCTACTACATAGTCAAACGTGCATGAAGGCTTTTGGACACAAAACAACAAGATGTAATGTCAAAAGTAAAGTAATTTACATATAATGCTATTAGGGGTCCCCCCCCCCTTGTATAATGTCAGTGTACTGCATACTTTCTGTTCAGGAAAATGTGTTTGGTTTACAGAGATTTCAAAAGAAAACCTAAAGAGGACAAGTTCTGTGCACAAGCCATGTGAGCATTTTCTTTCGCCCTCATAACTAGGGAGCGAGTGCCCAGAGGTTCAGACCAAGCCACTGCCCCTTTGGTTGTTCTGACCTCCTTGCATTAGGGATGGCAGGTCTACAGGTCTTTTCTATGCTTAGTTCGAAGGAGAACCTATCCTGCCCAACACATCAATTTGAAAGGAACTGCTCTCCCTTTGCACTGTATAGATATCAACAGTAATGAAAGCTGAAGCCAAAAGTAAGCCTTACAAAAATATGTTTTCCCCAAATGGTAGTTACACTTCTCTAATTTGAGGCCAGGGAGGTTATGTTGACACAATCCACTCAATCACCCCTATAATTGTTAATCACGTAACTATAGAAGTAACTGAGGCATGCAAAGAAACTGGCATAAAATAGATTATTTGAAATGAATTTGCTGATTCTCCACCTCTCTGAACTTTCATCCCAGAAACTTCAATATAAAAAGCAAATTGCATGCATTTACTACCCGCTACTTCCTTCCCCAGCCCACTCATAATGAGGAAGTCAGCCCTGGGGTAGCAATGCACAGTTCTAAGGATGGGATACAGGAGTGTAAGAAAACGGCCTTCTTTAGCTTGTATATATACTTCAATTTATTGTTAAAGCACTGAAATCAATATTTTAAGAAATAAAATTTACTTATTCCACTGTTTTAAGTAAGGAATTTTTCTTTAAAAAAAAAAATACTGGTTTCCATGGCACTGACCTTGAAGATAGGCTGGAATTTATTTATTTTTTAAAAAATGAACCTGTCTTTTCCACAAATACTTGACACACGAGGCAGATAACTGCAGGACAAAACAATAATAAAACCACTAAAAATCCAAAAATACAGCCTGAAGGTGAGGCAACCATTCCCTCCAAATAGAAGTCACCAGTTTATACCATTAATACATAATTTTATCAAATGCCTTCATACAAATTCTGATTTATATCCCCTCTGGATAGTTAATATGGCAGGTTCCTTTTTTTCACGTCCTCTGACAGGATGCTGCAGAGCTTGCTACAGAAAAAGACCATGAATGGGCTGTGACTTATCATAACTTTGAGCAGGAGGGGATCGTGAGAAGGAAACGCCATACTGAATAGATTTGCTGCACAGGTTCACAGAGGGAGATAATTTTCAACTGATGCAATGTAAGGCCATGTGGCACCTGCCTCTGCCAGGTGGCATTCATGTCCTAAGCTCCTGCAACTACAACTTTGGTCATTTGGTCACTAGCACTGGGACGGATCCAGTCAGCCACTACTCTTCTATGCTGTAAGGCAGGTATGTCCAACAGGTAGATCACGGTCTACCAGTAGATCACGGAGGGGTCAGAGGTAGATCACCAGCCCCACTTGGTCTCCTGGTTTGGTGTTTGGGTTTTTTTTGATGATTGTTTGGTGGTATTTCGCAGTTCTTTCTGGATCTTTGTCTCTCTGTTTTGTTTTTGCTTATTTTGCTTACCAGTAAATTACAAAAGGTGCATTATAAATTGGGGGGGCGGTGGAACCCAACTTTAGTGGGTCAAAATCTAATTTGAAACTAATTTGAAACTTTATTTTCATGGTGGTAGATCACCGGCACTTTTGGCCGGAAAAAAATAGATCACTACCTGTTCGAAGTTGGACATGCCTGCTGTAAGGTGAAACTACCACACATATGTGTGGGCAACTGACCACAGTAAATGGGATATACATCCAAATGTGCATCCCATAATTATGTGCACTACTGTGCTTTCAGTGGGATGAACAACTGACTGCACATTCCATTATAAGCAGTTCAGTGTCTATACATCCATTACCTTGGGATTTTTTAATAGATTTATGTTTGCACACCTGCCAACTGAGGATATCAACCCAAGTATCTAATGAAGAAGATTCTAACCCATGAAAGTTTATACAACAATAAATCTGTTCACAGTCTGGAATTTGTTTCTGGAGGCTGTTTACAACTTCTTCAAAGGCAAACATTTCTCTTCCTTCTTGTTAGTATACCGTTCTTAAAATGTTGTGTTTTCTTCACAGTATGGACTTATAACCAGCATCTGCAAGCTATGCAAGCTATGCAGAAAGAGAGATGTCTGATTATTCTGCTACATTTAACTGCAACTGCTCTTTTGGATGCATGATGAAACATCTGACAGAATTGTTTCTCCTTTTTTGAAACAGATACAAGCAATGTGAAACAGAACTCTTGAATTTAG